GGGGGGGGGGGGGTTGTCTGTCTAGAGGAGAAGCGGGTGGGTAGTGCGGGGGGGTTGTAGCTTGTGTGTGCCTTGAGGCGTGTGTGGGTGTGAAAGGTGTTGTGACCTGTACAAGGGTCAGGGGACACGTGTCGTGTGTGGGGAGGAGGAGAGGGGGCTGTTTGTGGGAGCGGGGCGGATGCTGCAGGCTCTGGAAGCAGCTTTGGGCAGCTCGATTTGTGGGGGTGTGAGGCTGTCTCGGTGTGCCAGGGCAGCAGCTGGCTATGGAAAATGTGGGGGCTAGTGCGTGTTGGGGTGAGGTCAGCGCGTGTGTTGTGAGGAGAGCGGCTCTGCAGTGTGCAGGGCCTGGTTTGGGTGCCTGGAGAGGAAATGTTTTGTCAGGGGAGATTTGGGGAAAAGGTTCCATCAGATGTGGGAGGAGAGCTTGGCACAGATGGAGGAGAGAGACGGCATAGAGAGGGATGCTGGGGAGGAAGAGGAGGTCTGTTTTCTGGGCCTTTGCTGATGTGAGGAGCCCAGGTTTGGTTTGTGGGGTGCCAGAGTGGGCTGGGGAACGAAAAATGTTGCGTGGTCACAGGTGTGAGACATAGAAGGGGAAGGGGGTGGCTGGCAGCTGAGGCTGAGTTTGGAGAAGCTGTGGAGGACTGCCATACCTGGGTGGGCTGGGCTTGGGACCACAGGGGTGTCCCTAATTCTCTGAGGAAAGTGTGTGTATTTGGGGCAGGGAGTGCTGTTAGCTTGAATGCTAAATGCATAACGGAGTGAGATTAACAATGTTGTGAGGCAGCCAAAGAACTGGAGCTGTGAGGACTATTTTTTGCCCTGGGCAATAAAAACTGTAGATGAGGATTTGTCTGTGGGCTGTGAGCTTTTTGAGAAAGTGACAGAGGAAGTTTTTTGGGCAGCGGATGCCAACTCGTTCCGCCTCCCGCAGGGATACGCAGTGAAAGTTACTGAGGTTGGCATCAACAGTTAAAATGAGGGGTAACGGCTTGAAATTGTGCCAAGGAGAGTGCGTCAAGGAGAGTCACACTGGCAGCGAGACCGGCTGGGCACTGGGACAATTTTCCAGTGGGGAAGTGGTGGAACAGTTATCGGGAGGGGAATCGAAAACTGCGCTGGCGGCTGTTAGTACAGTGCTGGGTCATGGGGAGACGAGTATTTATACACAGGAACACTCGCAGGCCACAGTCAGAAGCCAGACTCCTCGTGTGTTAGCTGCTGTTCAGAAAGCATAGTGTGAAGTAATTCTCTGCGCTGCTGCCCTTGGAGCGTCTTCTTCTCCTTCAGTTTTTTGGCTCTGCGAGAAGTGGGCAGATCGCTCACCTTGAAATTATTCAGAATAGACCAGACTGGGCTAATATCAGTCTTTTTCCAGCTCTCTAGGTATCAAAATGAGTTCCATACTGACCCATGCCATCAGAAACCTCCCTGCTTCCTCAGCATGGGCTGCCAGGGGCTGTGAGTATCTTTATGTTTATTAAAAGTATAAACAATTATAAAATTATTGAATTCATGTGTCATAAAGTTCTAAGTGTTGGGTTTGGGATGGATGCTTGTATCTGAATGACTGTTCCCTTGTCATCTTAAAAAAGGTGACAGTGGCTTTTTTTTTTTAAAGTAACTAATTCCATTGTGATCCTTGTCCCTTCCCGTGTCAGATGTGGGAGGAATCTCATGTTAACGGGTAATATGAACAGTGTTGTTTTTATGAATAAACTAAAAAGTATCTCACACATCTTCAGGTGTAGTTGTCTTACGGGGATGTTATCTTTTTTAACAGTTCTTATAGAAACTAGAAATGTTTCTAACACCTCGAGTTTGACCCTCGTTTTTCGCTTCTTGTTTTTCCAGTTGCTCGGTCACTCAGCTGCTCTTCACAGTTACAAGCTGCAGGTAAAGTGAAAACACTGGGAATCTCAGTGGGCCTGGTCTAGGGAAGACTATTTCTGAAGCTGCCTCCCTTTTCCAGAGTCTCATTCTACTTAACCCTCAGAAATATGCTATGGACAGCCTTAGTTTGAGGAAGTTGCAAATAAATAAAACTACAGGCAAAGCCCTGCTTGCAGCAGAGTCCTCTCCACCTCTGAAGGCCCCTCGCACTCAGCCGCAGAGCTCGCGCACTGTCGTCACCTGATGGATTGCTATTTCTAGAATAGAGAGGCTGAGCTCGGGGTTTATAAACTGTCTTGGCATAACCAGATCGCTTGCCCAGAGGGGAGGGGATTTGTCCCTGAGGAGGAGAACCTTGTGGAATTAGCTCTGAAATCCAGTAAGAGGCTCAGCTCTTGGTGGAGCCACTGAGCACCCACATGTAGGTGGGTTTTTAGCTGTGGCCCTTAGTGAGCAGTTGGGGTGATCTGGCGTTGGGGGGGTTCATTGTGGGGGGTTTGCTCAGGTGGCTGATGCTTTGAGCTGCCTGGAGTTTGGAAAAGTCCTGGACAGCAGCTCTCCCTCCTCCTTGGCTTTGTGCAGAGTGGCTGGTGTAACCCCAGAACAGTGCTGGAGTCTCGTCCAGGTGCTCAGCTGGCTTGAGCACAGTATTTAGCTGGAGTTAGGCTGCTTTCACATGTCTGTCCTTTTCCTGCTTGTAAAGGAGCTGCCGTTTGTGCTCGTTAGGATTTGCAGGCCTGATGGCACTGGGAAATTCTCCTTGAACTCTGTTAATCATCACTGTGGGAGAGCTCTGACAGTGGCATCTTGAACCATACTGTGACGTGACGTGGATTGGCTTGATCCTGAGATGCTCAGACACCTCATGGAGAAGTAGCAAGTTACCCAGAGCAGTTATATGCACTCCTTGCTACTGCTTTCCCACAGGAGTGAAAATTAGTTGACTTCCTGAACTTTTTGAATTATCTTTTTGAATTATCTCACCTTAACTGTGCAGTAAGGGCCCAACTGTGCAGAAGAAGCTGGGAGTGTTGAGTGTGAGGAGGAGGAGGCTGAGGGGAGCCCTCATCCCTCTCTGCAGCTCCTGACAGGACATTGCAGAGAGGCTGGGGCTGGGCTCTGCTCCCAGGGGATCAGGGACAGGACAAGTGGGAACGGCTGGAAACTGCCCCAGGGGAGGGTCAGGCTGGGCAGGAGGAGAAAATGTTTCCCAGCAAGAGTGGTGCGAGAGTGGAACAGGCTGCCCAGGGCAGGGGGGAGTCCCCATCCCTGGGGGGGTTTCAGGGCCGTTGGGATGAGCTGTGGGGGATGTGGGGTAGGGGAGAACTGTGTAGAGTCGGGCTGAGGGTTGGACTCGCTGATCCCGAGGGGTTTTTCCAGCCTGAAGGATTCTGGGGTTCTGTTGTTGGTGTGTGCTTAACAATTCATGGGAAAACCAATCTGGCCCTCGCAGAGAAAACTTAACTGGCCACCAGAATAATGAGCTGGTTCTGACCTCTTGCCTGTCCCTCCTGTTCTGCAGTGGTTTGTCGAAAGCTGCAGGCCGTGAGCAGTGGGTTTGTTTTGTTGAGAAGCGGGGAAAAGTGCTGTTGGAAAGAGAGGAGGCTTTACTCGAGGCGCGGGGGAAGGCGATTTCAAGGCCCAAGGTTTGGTGATTGTGGTTGGGTGTCCTCGTGCCAAGTCTGAACGCCGTGCTTCACCAGGGCAGCCTGATTTGGATGACAGCGTGTTAGTCCTGCGTGAGGGCTCTGTCCTGGCCATCGAGGGGCTTTTAATGTGCTGCGGAAGGGAAGGTATTGATTGAGGTGCCTTTAGTTTCGTTTTTTCTTTGGTACTTCCTGGTGCACGGAACCACATTTGAATCCCAGTGGCCTTGAAGCGCTGCCTGGGGTGGGTTTGCTGCGCTGGAGTGTCTGTCAAGATGTTCAGGCAAATCACACAGTATTTACTGATGAACTGGGAAAACGCACTGCTCCTTCTCTGTGTGTCTTTACTGAAGTTTTACCCTTTCCTACATTGAGGGTGATTAGTTTTGTTACCTCTTAGGGCCTTCTTTTTAACTTTGATGTCAGAACACTCCAAATTGGGGAAGGTACTAACAGCCGTTTCTGAGAGCAGTGAAGGGATAGAGTAGCCAGTTTCATTAAATTATGTAATCATTTTACATCATTTACATGATTTTATCCGCATGATTGTTTGCAGTTTGTAGTCAGTTACACTTTTCCCTAAGTACCGACGTGCACAAGATTTCTTCTGAGCTGGGTTTGGAAGGTGCAGCTCCATTGTTGCCTCATTCTCCAGCCAACCTGGTGGGAAGAGGCTGTTTGAGGACTGGAACAAGGTTATTGCTTACGTGGTGCAAATTCTGCTTGTTTTGATCTTCTCCTTAGGGGGCTGCTGAACCGGACCAGTGTCCCACGGGAGGTCGTTGATTATATTGTTTACGGCACAGTTATCCAGGAGGTGAAAACCAGTAATGTTGCCAGAGAGGTGGGTTACGTGCAGCATTTCCCCTGTGAGTCCTATTTCTGCAGCGAGTATGAAGATGACAAACATTTGCCAAAAAAAAAGAAAGAAATTCCAGTATTATGGTTCATTTACATGTGATTTGAGAACATGAACTAGTTGTGCCTGTGAAGTGACTGTATGGGCTCTGCCTCCTCTTGAAATCTGCCGTAGATCAAGTGCATTTTAACCCTCTGGAGCCTCTGCTTGGCTCTTCCCTGAAAGGCAAGCTCTTGTTAATGGTTGCTGATCACTCAGCTCTTAATTACCAGTCAGACTCAAACGCTGGCTTGTCTGAAGTACCTGGGGGGACCAGAACGTGCTGTGATACGTTGCTTTACTCTGGTATTTATTTCTTTTAGTCGGTTGATCAGATGCATCTTTGGGATGATTTGAAATGGAGTAGCTTAGCTGCCCATTTTTCTGGCGGTCAGAGAACAATCCGTGTATTATCCACAGAAATTATCCACTGAACCCACGTTACAGAGGCGGCTTGGGACTTTTCTTAACCTGCTGTTTTCTGCAACTGGGCGAAACGGTGACGTAACCTGGGCTGGAAAGACTCGGGAGATTCTGAGGCTCTCCAGTTCCATCAGCAGTTTTCGCCTTGTATATGCAAATACTTGCTTTGGTCACCTGCCAGTCAGATGAGGCTGCCGCGGTGTAATTTTAACTCGGGAACAACTGTTGAACTTTCAACCAGTTGGCCACGTCTCAAGTAGGGAAGGTCTTGCTGGGAGTGGTTCTCCCATGACGGGAGGCCGGGCTCTCGGCTGGGGCAGCTGCAGCACTGCTTGCTGAGCTGAAGGGAGTGTTTTCTGCTCTCTGAAAAGCAAGTGCCTTGTGCTGAGGGGTCTAAGTAATTCCTTTCACGTGTCGCCTTTGCAAATAAGGTGGAGCAGAGATGATGTCGAGTAGTTCTCTGAAATTGTGGGGGGTGTGATGACTTTGTCCCTTTGTTAATGGGGGGCTGGTGATGGCAGAGAGCCTTGGCAGCTGCTGTCTCCTCTCCCTGCAGTCTGGGGAGGGGATGAGCTGCTGCAGTAATTGCCCGACTGGAAACTCGATGTGCTGCTTCTCAGTGTAGTCTGGAGAGGTGTGTTGCTGGGCAGAAGGCAGCTCTGACCCTGTCTTGCAGAAGGTGTAGGTTTTAACACCCATTCTTTGCTCATAGGCTGCCTTGGGAGCGGGTTTCTCTGACAAAACTCCAGCCCATACAGTCACCATGGCTTGCATTTCTTCAAACCAGGCTATGACCACAGGTATGTTGGCTGGAAGAACAAGCTGTGGGTGTGAGACTGAGTTTAGCAACTCCTCTGCATCCCCCGTCTAACTTGCACTGCTTAGTGAATATAAGTGAACATCTGAAGAAATTCTAGAATGGAGGGAAAGGTTTTGAACCAACAAAATACAGTATGTATTGGTTGTCTGCTGTAGACCTGCCAGCAGCTTGGCACCCTCTGCACTCAGCAGTAGTTTGTGCTCAGGGTCTGTGTTAGCCTGGGAGGTAACAACCATGTCACGATAAGGAAGTTGCTGCCTTTCAGGCTGCTTTCATGTCTGACTTAGCCTAAACAGTGCAAAAAAAATGGAGACCTGGTTACTGTCTAATGGCTGGGGCTCTGATTTTCCCAACTGCTGTGTGTGACAAAGAGAAGTGGAAGCAAAGTTATAAAACTAGTGTGACTTAAAACATCTGTTCACCCTGCTTGGTCTATGTTAAGCCCGTGTTCTGTAACTCGGCCAAAGCCAGAGGCTGGAAGAGGAAAGAAAATGTAGTGTACAAGGCACAAACAGGGTAAGTATCACTTCTCCCCGCAGCTCTCATGGGAAGCTCTGTCTCCTTCTGCAGGCGTGGGTATGATTGCTGCTGGCCAGTGCGACGTCGTCGTAGCGGGGGGTGTGGAGCTGATGTCAGACGTTCCCATTCGTCACAGTAGGAAGATGAGGAAGACTATGCTGACCCTTAACCGAGCCAAGACCTTAGGCCAGAAGCTCTCCCTGCTTTCCAAAATTCGCCCTGACTACTTTGCTCCTGAGGTAACTTTTTTCCAGGCATTTAGATATTTAGCTAATCTGTTTTATAAGGAGGTGTAAAACAAGTGGACTTAGGCATTTTTTTTAGCCTCAGTGGGGAGGATTAAAAAAAGGATAAGATGGCTGCCGGTGTATCGGCTCTGTGCTGTGCCTTAGGTTAAAGGTGCAGTTGGTTAATGCATCTCATGACATTGGTGATTCTCTGCTTTGTCGTCTTATGTGTTGCTCTTCAGTAAATCAAACTTATTTCAAAACTTCCCTCTCCCGCAATTCCTAGACAAATGGTGCTGGAGACTGCAAAAGCTTTTTCCCATAAATAGAAAGCTTATGCAAGGGTCCTAAAGGTCAGAAGAATTTTTGTTTCCTAGATGATAGAAGAAATGTGCTTAATGTTACAGAATCCCAGGATCATCTGGGTTGGAAAAGCCCTTGCAGCTCCTCCAGCCCCACCATGACCC